CACAACAACCACGACAAACACAACAAACACGACAAACACAACAAACACAACAACCACGACAAACACGACAAACACAACAACCAAACAACAAACAAACACAACAACCACGACAAACACACAACAACAACACAACAACACAACACAACAAACAACAACAACACAAACACAACACAACAACCACGACAAACACAACAAACACAACAACCACGACAAACACAACAACCACAACAACCACGACAAACACAACAAACACAACAACCACGACAAACACAACAAACACAACAACCACGACAAAACACAACAACAACAACAAACACAACAAACACAACAAACACAACAACCACGACAAACACAACAACCACAACAAACACAACAAACACAACAACCACGACAAACACAACAAACACAACAACCACAACAAACAACAAACACAACAAACACAACAACCACGACAAACACAACAAACACAACAAACACAACAAACACGACAAACACAACAAACACAACAAACCACGAACAAACACAACAAACAACAACACAACACACGACAAACACAACAAACACAACAAACACACGACAAACACAACAACAAACACAACAAACACAAACACAACACAACGACAAACACAACAAACACACAACACAACACAAACAACCACGACAAACACAACAAACACAACAACCACGACAAACACAACACAAACACACAACACACAACAAACACAACACAACCACAAACAACCACAACAAACACACAACACGACAAACACAACAAACACAACAACCACGACAAACACAACAAACACAACAAACACACAACAAACACAACAAACCACAACAAACAAACACAACAAACACAACAAACCACGACAAACACAACAACACAACAAACACACAACAACACACAACACCAAACACAACAACAACCACGACAAACACAACAAACACACAAACACAAACAACACACAACAAACACAACAACCACACAAACAACAAACAACACAACAAACACGACAAACACAACAAACACACACAAACACAACAACACAACAAACACAACAAACACAACAAACCACGACAAACACAACAACCACGACAAACACAACAAACACAAACAAACACAACAACAACACAAACAAACCACAAACACCAAAACAACAAACAACAAACAAACACAACAAACACGACAAACACAACAAACACAACAACCACGACAAACACAACAAACACAACAAACACACAACAAACAAAACAAACAAACACGACAAACACAACAACAACACAACAAACACACACAAACACACAACACAACAACCACGACAAACACAACAACACGACACACAACAACACACAAACACAACAAACACAACAACCACAACAAACACAACAACCACGACAAACACAACAAACACAACAACACGACAAACACACAACAACAACACAACAAACCACGACAACACACAACAACACAACAACCACGACAAACACAACAACACAAACACACAACCACAACAAACACAACAAACACAACAAACAACAACACAACACAAACAACCACGACAAACACAACAACACACAAACACAACAACACGACAAACACAACAACCACAAACAACAAACACAACAAACACACAAACAACACACAACCACGACAAACACAACAACACACAACACAACAAACACGACAAACACAACAAACACAAACAAACACACGACAAACACAACAAACACAACAAACACAACAAACACAACACAACACACACAACACAACAAACACAACAAACACAACAACCACGACAAAACACAACAAACACACAAACACAACAAACACACAAACACAACAAACACACAACACAACAAACACACAACACAACACAACAAACACAACAAACACACAACACAACAAACACAACAAACACACAAACACAACAAACACAACAAACACACAAACAAACAAACAAACACAACAAACACAACAAACACAACAAACACAACAAACACAACAAACACACACAACACGACAACACAACAACACAACAACACAAACAAACACAACAAACACAACAAACACACAAACACAACAAACACACAAACAAACACAACAACCACAACAACCACGACAAACACAACAACCACGACAAACACAACAAACCACAACAACACACAAACACAACACACAACAAACACAACAAACACACAACAACAAACACAACAAACACGACAAACACAACACAAACACAACAACAAACAACACGACAAACACAACAAACACAACAACACACAAACACACGACAAACACAACAAACACAACAACACGACAAACGACAAACACAACAAACACAACAAACACACACAACACGACAAAACACAACAACCACAACAAAACACAAACAAACACAACAAACGACAACAAACACAACAACCACAACAAACACAACAACACACAAACACAACAAACACAACAACAAACACAAACAAACACAACAAACAAACAACAAACACAAACAAACACAACACAACAACACAAACACAAACACAACAAACACAACAAACACAACAAAACACAACAACCACGACAAACACAACAAACACAACAACCACGACAACACAAAACACAACAAACACAACAAACACAACAAACACAAACAACACAAACAAACCAAGACAAACACAACAAACACAACAAACACAACAACCACGACAAACACAACAAACACAACAAACACACAAACACGAACAAACACAAACAACAAACACAACAAACACGACAAACACGACAAACACAACACAACACACAACAAACACGACAAACACAACAAACACAAAACACAACACACGACAAACACAACAACCACGACAAACACAACAAACACAAAACACAAACAACACGACAAACACAACAACCACACAAAACACAACACAACACAACAAACACAACAAACAACACACAACAAACACAACAACACAACAAACACAACAACCACAACAAACACAAACACAACAAACACAACAAAACACAACAAACACAACAAACGACAACAACAAACACAACAAACACGAACAAACACAACAAACACAACAAACACAACAACCAACGACAAACACAACAAACACAACAAACACAACAAACACAACAAACAAACAAACAAACAACAACACGACAAACACAACAACCACGACAACACACAACAAACAAACGACAAACACAACAAACACAACAACACAACAAACACAACAAACACAACAACCACAACAAACACAACAAACACTGTCAGTCAGGTCTTTGTGGTCAGACTGTGTTTAAACAAAGATCAGATTAAAGTCTAAACTTCTTACAGTCTGTGGGTGTGTCAGGTGCAGTGTGTCGGGTGCAGTGTGTCGGGTTGCGGGCAGTGTCTTGGCGCAGTGTGTCGGGTGCAGTGTGTCAGGGGCAGTGTGTCGGTCAGTGTGTCGGGTGCAGTGTGTCGGGTGCAGTGTCTTGGGCGCAGTGTGTCGGGCGCAGTGTGTCGGCAGTGTGTCGGGTGCAGTGTCAGGGTGCAGTGTGTCGGGCGCAGTGGGCGCAGTGTGTCGGGTGCAGTGTGTGTCGGGTGCAGTGTGTCGGGTGCAGTGTGTCGGGTGCAGTGTGTCGGGGCAGTGCGGGTGCAGTGTGTCGGCGCAGTGTCAGTGTGTCAGTGTGTCAGTGTGTCGGGTGAGTGTGTCCGGTGCAGTGTGTCGGTTGTGTGTCAGGGCGGGCGTGTGGTCGGGCGCAGTGTCTTTTGTTGTCTTTGGTTCACTGAAGTTGGATAATTTGTTTTTTATTTCCTGTGAGGACGACTCAGATAAACATTGAGTAATAAAGTGTTTAATGAAACTTCGACACGTTTTTGTTTTACAGAAACGAAACTTAAACCACAAACAGATGAGTCATTTCCATAAACTAATGTGTGTAATAAAAACTGTTGTTTCTTGTGTCTGATGTGGTTCAGTTTGTGTTGGACTAAACGACACAGAGACTCAGTGGAATATGACTGTTTCATTGATTTTATTGATTTCATAAATGCAGCACAAATATAGATTTTTATACAAAGCATACAGATATTTATTTATGTACTATGTATATATATATATATACATATATATATATATATAATATATATATATATATATATGTATATACACACACACACACACATATGATCAAACTAAACTGGGCTACTTGAATTCTTGCTCCAGTAGTGGAATAAATTCACCCAAGAACAATGTGAGTTCATTGTGGATCATGTCAAGACGTATGAAAGTTGTGATTAAAAATCAGGTTTATTCCACCAAATCATGATTTCTGAATTCTTCCTCAGTTAAAACATTAGTATTGAGGTTTTTTTTTAAATAAATATGATCTTGTTTTCTTCACATTCTTTGAGGTCTGAAAACATTGCATCTTTTTTGTTATTTTGACCATTTGTCATTTTCTGCAAATAAATGTGACACGAGGGAGCTCAGTGACGCTTCAGATCTGATCTAATCTCCTCGTCTGGTTTTTCTGTAAATCCTCCTCCCCACGAATCATCTGTTAGAAAATAATTCACTTTCTGGCCAAACAAACGTTTTTTTTTTTTTTTTTTGTTTTTTTTTGTTTTTGTTGTTTCATGTTTATTCTCCAGTGATGTTCCTCATTCTCCTCATGACTCGTCGCACTCAGAGGAATAAATCTCCTTTTCCAGGTGTCTCCAGATCTTAAATCATTTATCAAAGGTGAAGAAGTCAAAACCAGAAGAGGAAAACTTCCAGAACAAATCACACCCTGAAAATATGAGCCAAAAAACTCCAAAAGAAAAAAAACATTTTATAAACTAAACTACGCAGTTTGATTTAATCTGTATTTTCTGGTCTAGACTGAAGCGCCACTTTTTTCCCGCTATTTTATTTTATTTCTTTATCCGTATTTCTGTAGAAACGTGGAGGTCACGTGTTTCCGGTCTCGAGTGGCGCTCCGCCCGCGCGCACAGATCCTGTTGTCACATTTGCGTAAAACGCGCGCGTCGCATCAGAGACTTTGGGAATGACTCGTGATGAACTAAAGAAGGTTTTTAATCGTGAAGGATAAATATAAAACACTTCACGATCCTGAAGAGCAACTTTACAGTCCGGGATCTGCAGGAAAAGGCTCGTGGTAAGTCGAGTGTTTTAAAGCAGCTCCGCAGTTTGAAAGTTTTAAGTATTTTCATCTACAACAAAGAATCTGCAGCTGTGGTGTTTTTTCAGATCTTTATCCTGATGTATTTACTGACCCTAGTGAATTATTAATGCCTGAAACTTTAGACTTTAGACAAACTTAATTGATCCACAGGGAAATGATTTAAACACAGAGTCACACGTCACAATATAAAAGAATAAGAAAAGAAAAAATATAAATGTTAATATTAAATTCTAAATAAAAGCACAAACAGCAGCTTTCCGTGTTCCTCCTGAGCCTCTGCAGCTCTTCATGTTTTCTTCCTGAACTGTGGGTGTGACTTTGACTTTTATAAAACAGCAGAGCTCCTTTTTCTGTCGCACACAGATCTGGACTTTATGGACAAACTTGAGTCTTTAAACTTGAGTGGTGTTGATGAAGAAGAGCAGCTCGAGCTTCATTTAAACAGGTGAGACATTTAAAGTTTGTATAAAGTGAGTTGAGTTTGATGTTGTTCTATTACTGTTTTTACTGCACTAAAGTTAGAATAAAATACACAAACACTGAATGAGTCAGTGTGAGGAGGAGGGACGACTCGAGTCTGAATAAACCTGATCCTTTCTGTCCAAATGTGATTATTACAGGAAAGACACACACACTTTGATTTAATCCATTTCCTGGTTTCTCATCGTCCCTGAACAAACTGTAGATCTGTGTTAAACAAACACTGTGACTCTGTGGAGTGTTAAACAAACACTGTGACTCTGTGGAGGTTTCACTGTAACACGTCACATATTTACATCTCCATGTTCCATTTATCGTTTTGAAAATGCTGCATTCACCAAAAACAACATGTAAATATGGTTTATAAGTTCAGTTTCATTTTGAGCTGAGATCCCCTCCTTTTGTCTTTGAATTTATCTTTGGACTCAGCTTTTGGTGTGAAAAAAATCACTTTTAAAACTCGGTGAAGTTCAGTTTTGCAGCTTAAACATTTAAATGAGTTGATCTGAGATCTTTCTTCGTCTCTCTCCTCCGTCTGTGACGCACTGTCAGCCAATAGTGTTGTGTCTCTCAGCTCTAAGCCCCGCCTCTCCATCTGATTGGTCAGAATCACGTAGTCAGGCAGAAGAAGCACAGGCAGAGGAAGCACTATCTTTTGTGAACAGCTTCTGGATGCTTCTATCAACAGAAAACACTTTTATTACCTCAGTAAATGATGTGACGGTGACAGATGCCTCCTTGTTTCCCCTTATTATTTTATATTATTATTTTTTTACATCAAAGTCAGACCATCGTCTTTATTTTAAGATAAATGTGTTAATATTATTATTTTTTATTAATTTTAATGTCAATTTCAGGATTGTAGTGGTTCCTCAGATTCAGTCAAGACACAGAGTTTCGACTAGTGCCAAATATTTTTACTGATCGACTATCACCTTTCCTTGTCTCCTCTGTAGTTTCCTTTCCTTGCTTCCTCTGTAGTTTCCTTGTCTCCTCTGTAGTTTCCTTTCCTTGTCTCCTCTGTAGTTTCCTTTCCTTGTTTCCTCTGAGCTTTGGGACTTAATCTGGCTCATTTGATTGACAGCTGAAAATGGAGGATCGAGGAGAAGAATCGAGGAGAAGGACGTGAGGAAAGAGAAAAGAGACGCCCTGAGATTCAGAACCAGATCAACAGGTGATGTAAGTGACTCTGCCAAGAATGATCATAATAATAATAATTATTATTATTGTTATTATTGTTATTATTATTCTACCATCAACTATGAGTCATTTATGCCTGGCACAGAAAACAAAAGGTCATTTACTGGAAATAAAAGTCACACGGACAGTTTATAAGAAACTACAGTGAAATAATGTGAATATCAAACTTATGTTGGAGAAAACAGGAAGAAACTGTAGAAGAATTGAATATAATACGAGTGCAGTTTATAGAACGTACAGGAAGGACTGAGGAAACAATAGACCATAGACAACAATGTAGAACTTGACTCAAACATGCAGGTTTGGGAGCCACTGATCTAAAGAAATGGAGACAGATGAATAAAAAAGAGCGGCTTGTATTATTATTATAACATACAAAATATGATATTTATATTATTATAATCCATGTGTGAGTCTGATGTTTATTATCAGGCTCCTGCAGCAAATGAGTCAAGTTGAGAACTTCTCCTGTGACATGAGCAGAACGACACACTGACCTGTGACGAGTCGTGACTCGTGAGTGAATTACAGAGGTGAATTAAAATGCACATTTATGCAAATGTTGCCTAATTATGTATGAATAATGACATTTATATGTTATATAACTTAAGTTTGCATTGATGGTCTCGGCTAGAGTTGTACTCAAGTAAAAGTACACTTCAAAGTAATATTTTCACACATTCCTCAGTAGAAAGTGCTTCATCCCAAACACAGACAGTCTGGAGGGGCTCCTACACCCAGGAGCTCTGATCTGTGAAGCCGTGTTCACACGAGCGTCAAAAACACCGACACATCTCTACGTGGAGTCTTTGCATTTGAGTTCAGACGCCCCCGACGCTCGTGTCTTTGGACACTGGATCAGTCCTGGTTTAGTCCTGCTTTAGTCCTGGTTTAGTCCTGCTCTAGTCCTGGTTTAGTCCTGGTTTAGTCCTGCTCTAGTCCTGGTTTAGTTCTGGTTTAGTCCTGGTCTGGTCTAGTCCTGGTCTAGTCCTGGTTTAGTCCTGGTCTAGTCCTGGTTTAGTCCTGCTCTAGTCCTGGTTTAGTTCTGGTTTAGTCCTGGTCTAGTCCTGGTCTAGTCCTGGTCTAGTCCTGGTCTAGTCCTGGTCTAGTCCTGGTCTAGTCCAGGTGATCGGCTCGGTGATTGTGGTCTATATATTTATTCTTCTCTCATGTTTGTGGTTCTGGTTCTCGGGTCTTTTTCTTTCTTCCTGATAATAACGTTGTTACGTCTCTGGATACTCGTTCCTGATTGGTCGAAATTTTCCATTTCTGACGCCAGAGCATCGACACCAAAATGCTCAAGATGCACCTCGCTGATGCCCAAAGACAAAACGCAAAAACACCAGACGCCCCAGATGCACATCCACCTGGAGTTTACATACACAAGAGTGAGACGTAGACCTGCACCACGAGTCGCCGCACACCTGTCAAAAGAGCCAAATGAAGAGCCAAATAAACCAGAATCTAAGTCAAACAAACACACAAATGAACCAGAGCACACAGCTGATCCTCACGTGGACTCACATGACCTGAAGTTTCACTTTTGTTTGATTTATACTGCACTTTTTAGCCTCAAAGGAACCTTAAACTTATGTTTTTAGGTTCTTTTTTCAGACAGTTTGTTTTCCTTCTGACAGTTTGTTCTGCTCCTGCTCCTCTTCCTCCGAGTCTTCCTCAGAGTCTCGTGATGTTTCTGTGTTGCTCAGTTGATTTAAACAGGTTTTGTCTCAGTCTTCCTCTCGGTGGAGGCAGGACGACTTCATGTAAATAATGTTGCTTTCAGTTTTTATTTATTTTTTTTTTAAGGGCTGTAGATATTCAAAAAGTCTCTACAGTAAACCTCTCCAGGTGGTGGAGAGTCTCTGCCTCAAGTGGAGGAGTTCAAGTATCTCGGGGTCTTGTTCACGAGTGAGGGGAGGACGGAGCGTGAGATTGACAGGTGGACAGGTGCAGCGTCTGCAGTGATGCGGTCGCTGTATCGGTCGTTGTGGTGAAGAGGAGCTGAGCCGAAAGGTGAAGCTCTCGATTTACCGGTCAGTCTTCGTTCCTCCTCTCACCTCTGGTCATGAGCTCTGGGTAGTGACCGAAAGGACGAGATCGCGGATACAAGCGCTCGAAATGAGTTTCCTCCGCAGGGTGGCTGGGCGCTCCCTTAGAGACAGAGTGAGGAGCTCAGTCACACGGGAGGAGCTCGGAGTAGAGCCGCTGCTCCTCCACGTCGAGAGGAGCCAGTTGAGGCTCGGGCATCTGTTCCGGATGCCTCCTGGGCGCCTCCCTCGGGAGGTGTTCCGGGCATGTCCCACCGGGAGGAGGCCCCGGGGAAGACCCAGGACACGCTGGAGGGACTAAGTCTCTCGACTGGCCTGGGAACACCTTGAGGTCCCCCCAGGAGGAGCTGGAGGACGTGTCTGGGGTGAAGGAAGTCTGGGAGTCTCTGACTGCTGCCCCCGCGACCCGGCCCCGGATAAGCAGAAGAAAATGGATGGATGGATGTCTATAGTAAAGTTATGAAAATATTTTTCTTTAAAATTAATCTTGTCCCATCTTTTTGTCAACTCAGTCAGATTTTTTGAAAAAACTCACTAAATCAGGCAATAATTTCCATTCATCCATGTTCTTCCTCTTCTCTGGGGTCGGGTCTCGGGGGCATCAGTCTGAACAGAGATTCCCAGACTTCCTTCATCCCAGACACTTCCTCCAGTGGGACCTGAGGTGTTCCCAGTCCAGTCCAAAGACATTGTCCCTCCAGTGTGTCCTGGGTCTCCTCCTCCTCCCGCTGGGACATGAACACCTCCTGAGGGACACGTCCAGGAGACATCAGAGCAGACGTCCTCCCCTCAGACGCTCCTCTCCACGTGGAGGAGCAGCGGCTCTACTCCGAGCTCCAACCTCTGTCTCTAAGGGAGACGCCCTGCGGAGGAAACTCATCTGTGTCTCTTGTATTGTGGATCTGGTTCTTCAGGTCATGACCAGAGGTGAGGGGAGGAACGGAGACTGACGCTAAATCCAGACTCAGCTCCTCTTCACCACAACGACCGATACATCCATCACCGCCACATCCCCAGTCGAGGTGAACAGTTCTCCCGCACTGTAAACAGTGTTGGTGAAGAACTGTTTCCCCCTCCTGAGGCGCCGGACAGTTTGCCAGAATCTCTTTGAGGCCTCTGATAGTCCTTCTCCATGTCCCCCCCGAACTCCTCCCAGCTCCGAGTTTTTGCCTCCGCCCCGCACGAGCTGCAGTTGTGTTTTGGCCCGTTGGTACCCATCAGCTGGCTCAGGATTCCCACGAGCCAACAAGGCCCGATAGGACTTGAGTACCCACCCCAGGCCTGGGTCCAGAGTGACACCAACCTGGACGATGTCACTGGCCTTGCTCTGTTATTCATAAGGGCTTTTGAACTGCTCTTAGTCTGACCCGACAACACAGCTCCGGAGATCATTCAGGCAGTCAAAGCCCTCCACCACGTTAAGGTGATGGTTCCTTGTGTTCCTAGAAACCAGCTACAGGAAACCTGCAGTTTTGTCAACTCCGTCAGTTGTCAACAATTTTATAGTTTCAAGTTGAACATGTGATGGAGTTGACATTTTAGGGACCAACCAACTTACTACAGAAGGTTTAATTCCCAGTTTTCTGAACAAAAAATGTATCATTGAATAGATAAAATATGTAAAATCACTAATATTTGAATAAAAACTCATAGGGGCAGAGGAGAGAGAAACACTGGAGGAGGACTGCAGAAGAAGAAGCCTGGTGAAAAAGTGTCTGCAGACAGAGAGATATGGGCCCATAGGACAAAGTGGGATCAGTGACCCTCATGTTGTTTCCTGCTCTGACTCCAGATAAACAGTTGAAGTCTTTTTTTGTCTTTCAGATAATCCACACTGAGCCTCTTACGATGGAAGGTTGGACCAAAGACGAGGTTCGAGAATGGCTCATTTCAGACGTCAAAGTCAGTCCGACTGACGCCCAAAGGTTTTTTGATGAGGACGTGTCTGGGGAGTACTTAGTGGAATTTACCAAAAGGGAGATTCTGGACATGGACATAAAACACGGCCCAGCGGTGAAAATCACAAAGCGTCTAAAACAGTGGAAGGAGCAGAGCCGGACTCAGCCCCAGTGTCCTGCGTATGTGCTCTCCTGGACAAAGGAGCAGGTGAAGCTGTGGTTACTGCAGCACCTGAAGATCTATGACAAATACGCCCAGCGGCTGCTGGAAGAGGACGTGTCAGGAGACTGTCTGGTTTACTTTGAGACGCAGGACTTTAAGGATCTGGACTTTAAACAAGGTCCAACAGTGAAGATCCTGGCAGAACTCAGACGACTGAAAGACAAAGCAGAACCAGAGCTGCTGCCTGTAACAGAAGAGGAGAACAAACAGCCGAGTGTTGAACCAGAGCCAAGTCTGTCTCAACCAGAGACACAGAGGAAATCCTCTGAAAGAACCACGAGCCCCAACACTCACCACGTCCAAAACACTCAGAGGACACCGCCCCAGCAACCACCAGCTCCAAACACAAAGACTGCAGCAGAGGTGAGGCACAGAGTGGGTGAGGCGGGTGGTGTATACGTGGGTGAGGCAGGTGGTGCTCAGGGGTGGGTATCAGGTGTGGCCTCTCCTTAGTCTTGCTGACGTTCAGTTGGAGGTTGTCGTCTCTTCTCCATGCAGTCAGAAGGTCTTTTCTGTGGTGAGTCTTTGGTCCTTGGTGATGAGACCCACCAGAGTCGTATCGTCCATGAACTTTACAAGCTGGTTGGTGCTGTAGGTGGTTGATGCTGTAGGTGGTTGTAGGTGGTTGATGCTGTAGGTGGTTGATGCTGTAGGTGGTTGATGCTGTAGGTGGTTGATGCTGTAGGTGGTTGATGCTGTAGGTGGTTGGTGCTGTAGGTGGTTGTAGGTGGTTGGTTGATGCTGTAGGTGGTTGATGCTGTAGATGGTTGGTGCTGTAGGTGGTTGTAGGTGGTTGGTTGATGCTGTAGGTGGTTGGTGCTGTAGTTGGTTGTAGGTGGTTGGTTGGTTGGTGTTGTAGGTGGTTGATGCTCCAGGTGGTTGTAGGTGGTTGGTTGGTCGGTGTCATAGGAGGTTGGTGCTTTTGGTGGTTGATGCTGTAGGTGGTTGGTGCTGTAGATGGTCGGTGCTGTAGATGGTTGGTTGATGCTCCAGGTGGTTGTAGGTGGTTGGTTGGTTGGTGTTGTAGTTGGTTGATGCTGTAAGTGGTTGGTGCTGTTGGTGGTTGATGCTCCAGGTGGTTGTAGGTGGTTGGTTGATGCTGTAGGTGGTTGTAGGTGGTCGGTTGGTTGGTGTTGTACGTGGTTGGTCAGTGTCGTAGGTGGTTGGTGCTTTTGGTGGTCAGTGCTATAGGTGGTCGGTTGGTTGGTGTCGTATGTGGTTGGTCGGTGTCGTAGGTGGTTGTAGATGGTTGGTCTTGTAGGTGGTTGGGTGGATTTAGCCGTTCAGAGTCGTTGAAGCAGGATGGGGATGGTTTCTTTGGCACAGGTGTGATGGTGGCAGCTTTGAAACATGATGGGACAATGTCTGACTCCAAAGAAGTGTTGAAGATGTCTGTAAAGACTTTAGCTGCACAGTCCTTCAGCACTCGACCTGGGGTGTTGTCTCAACCTGCTGCTTTGCGTGGGTTGATGGTGGTGAGTGTTCTCTTCACACTGGAGACAGACAGTAAGTCTTTCTTTATATAGCGCTTTCACAGACATTTTCTGTCCCCAAAGACGCTTTACACTTTATTCAGCATTATTCATTCAGCATTCATTCATACAGTATTATTCATTCATACAGTATTATTCATTCACTCTATACCTGGTGATGGTAAGATACTATAGTAGCCACAGCTGCCCTGGGGCACACTGACAGAAGCGCGGCTGCCATGCCACTCGGCGCCACCGGTTCCTCCGACCACCACCATCACTCACACACACACCACTTTCATACTAGGAAATGTGGGCGAAGTGTCTTGCCTAAGGACACAATGACTGAATTAATTGTATTAACTGACCTTGATTATCAACTGTTCTTGGAGACCTGTGTAACATGTTTTTGGGTTGATCTGGGAAACTGGAGCACCCGGAGGAAACCCATCCAGACATGGGGAGAAACATGCAAACTCCACACAGAAAGGCCCGGGCGACCCGGAGATCAAACCCAGAACCTTCTTGCTGTGAGGCATGAGTGCTAAACACTCAGCCACCGTGCCACCACACAGGGACAGAGTCTGGTCGAGGGGAGGGGCTGGGGTTTTCTGTGGGTGTTTTGTGCTTTAAAGCAAAGAATCTGCTCAGGTTGTTGAGCAGAGGTGTTGCTCTCGCAGCTCTGTGGCACGGACTTGTATTCTGTGATGGCCTGGATGCCCTGCCTTAAACTCTCTGCATCGGGAATGTTTTCATTCAACCATGTCTCGGTGAAAACAAACACACAGCAGTTACTCGCAGTCCGGTTCTCTGATCTCAGCAGTTGAACGTGCTCCAGCTTGTCTAGTGATCTCGTGTTAGTCAGGAGGACAGATGGTTTGGCTGGGTGAGTTGGATTAGCCGCTAGCCAAACCCGGACACCTCCACACTTGCCTCTCTTCCTTGTCCTCACGCGAGTCCAGTGCAGTAGCAGCAGGTCGACAAAGTAATACACCAGTGTCTCTGTTTCAATGTCCAGAACATCGCAGATTTTGCTTTTCCAAATCTCTAACAGTGCCTGCTGACTGAAGTTATTTTCCAGCGTACACTGACGAGAAAAACATTTAGACACATTTTGACTAATAAACACTGCACTATTTGGAGAGTGAGAGGCCGCTGCATCTGCTCACGCCGCCGTTTAAATCATAACTCACTCCAAATCAGAGCTGAAGGATTTATATGAAATCACATAGAATTGTATGTCAATTTTACACTATTGATTTGAGGTTTGGAAACATTTTCTTCAATAGAAGGTGTTGTCTATAAGATCATTTTGGTTTTAATCTGAAGATAAATTTTGAAGGAAGTTTTTTTTTGTGTCTCAAATGACAAAATAATTTCAATGAACAGGGACAGAAGAGACAATATGTGATGGGAAAATGATGAACTTCAATGTCACTTTTTGTTCTCATTCAAAAATCTCACCTTTTTCAAAAACATTCCATTCCATTTTCTTCCTCTTATCCGGGGCCGGGTCACGGAGGCAGCAGTCTAAGCAGGGACTCCCAGACCTCCCTTTCCACGCACACTTCCTCCAGCTCTTCTGGGGGGGACGCCAAGGCGTTCCCAGGCCAGCCAAGAAACATAGTTCCTCCAGCGTGTCCTGGGTCTTCCCTGGGGCCTCCTCCCGGCGGGACATGCCCAGAACACCTCCCGAGGGAGACGCCCAGGAGGCATCTGGAACAGATGCCCGAGCCTCAACTGACTCCTCTCAACGTGAAGGAGCAGCGGCTCTACTCCGAGCTCCTCCCGTGTGACTGAGCTCCTCACCCTATCTCTAAGGGAGCGCCCAGCCACCCTGCGAGGAAACTCATTTCGAGCGCTTGTATCCGCGATCTTGTCCTTTCGGTCACTACCCAGAGCTCATGACCAGAGGTGAGAGTAGGAACGAAGACTGACCGGTAAATCGAGAGCTTTGCCTTTCGGCTCAGCTCCTCTTCACCACAACAGCGACCGCATCACTGCTGAAGCTGCACCGATCTGCCTGTCAATCTCACGTTCCATCCTCCCCTCACTCGTGAACAAGACCCCGAGATACTTGAACTCCTCCACTTGGGGCAGGGCCTCTCCACCCGCCCGGAGAGGGCAAGCCACCTTTTTCCGGTCGAGAACCATGGCCTCAGATTTGGAGGAGCTGATCTTCATCCCAGCCGCTTCACACTCGGCTGCAAACCGCCCCAGTGCTGCAGGTCCTGGTTCGATGAAGCCAACAGGACAACATCATCCGCAAACAGCAGAGATGAGATCCTGTGGTCCCCAAACTGGACCCCCTCCGGCCCCTGACTGCACCTAGAAATTCTGTCCATAAAAACAATGAACAGAACCGGTGACAAAGGGCAGCCCTGGCGGAGTCCAACATGCACCGGGAACAGGTCTGACTTACTGCCGGCAATGAACACAGCTCCTGCTCCGGTCATACAGGGACCGGACAGCCCTTAGCAAAGGGCCCCAGACCCCATACTCCCAGAGCACCCCCCACAGGACACCACGAGGGACACGGTCAAATGCCTTCTCCAAGTCCACAAAGCACATGTGGACTGGTTGGGCAAACTCCCATGAACCCTCGAGCACCGATGGAGAGTGTAGAGCTGGTCCAGTGTTCCACGGCCAGGACGAAAACCACACTGCTCCTCCTGAATCCGAGGTTCGACTATCGGCGGATTCTCCTCTCCAGTACCCTGGCATAGACCTTACCGGGAAGGCTGAGGAGTGTGATTCCCCTGTAATTGGAACACACCCTCCGGTCCCCCTTCTTATACAGAGGGACCACTACCCTGGTTTGCCAGTCCAGAGGTACTGTCCCCGACCGCCACGTGATGTTGAAGAGGCGAGTCAACCAAGACCCACAACATCCAGAGACTTAAGGTACTCAGGACGGATCTCGTCCACCCCCGGAGCCTTGCCACCAAGGAGCTTTCCAACCACCTCAGTGACTTCAGCCAGGGTGATGGATGAGTCCGCCTCCGAGTCCCCAGTCTCTGCTTCCCCCTCGGAAGACGTGATGGTGGGATTGGAGGTATTCTTTCCACCGCCGGACAACGTCCCCAGTCGAGGTCAACAGCTCTCCCCCCGCACTGTAAACAGTGTTGGTGAAGAACTGCTTCCCCCTCCTGAGGCGCCGGACAGTTTGCCAGAATCTCTTTGAGGCCGTCCGATAGTCCTCCTCCATGGCCTCCCCGAACTCCTCCCAGCTCCGAGTTTTTGTCTCTGAGCTGCCGCACGCTTGGCCCGTCGGTACCATCAGCTGCCTCAGGAGTCCCACGAGCCAACAAGACCTGATAGGACTCCTTCTTCAGCTTGACGGCATCCCTTACTTCCGGTGTCCACCACCGGGTTCGGGGATTGCCGCCGCGACAGGCACCACAGACCTTACACCCATAGCTCCGAGCAGCCGCATTGACAATAGAGGTGGAGAACAGAGCCCACTCGGACTCCATATCTCCAACCTCCCCCGAGATCTGGGAGAAGTCCTCCCGGAGGTGCGAGTTGAAGATCCCTCTGACAGAGGCTCCGCCAGACGTTCCCAACAGACCCTCACTACACGCTTGGGCCTGCCAGGTCTTTCCAGCTTCCTCCTCCGCCAGCGAACCCAACTCACAACCAGGTGGTGATCAGTTGACAGCTCAGCCCCTCTCTTCACCCGAGTGTCCAAGACACGTGGCCGGAGGTCAGATGACACGACTACAAAGTCGATCATCGACCTCCGGCCTAGGGTGTCCTGGTGCCACGTGCACTTATGGACCTTGTGCTCGAACATGGTGTTCGTTATGGACAAACTGTGACTAGCACAGAAGTCCAATAACAAAACACCACTCGGGTTCAGATCGGGGAGGCCGTTCCTCCCAATCACCCCTCTCCAAGTGTCACTGGCGTTGCCCACGTGGGCATTGAAGTCCCCCAGGAGAACAACGGAGTCCCCAGTTGGTGCACTGTCTAGTACCCCTCCCAGGGACTCCAAGAAGGCCAGGTACTCGAGTACTCAGCACTGCTGTTCAGGCCCGTAGGCCGACACCACAGTGAGAGACCTGTCCCCGACCCGAAGGCGCAGGGACATGACCCTCTCGTTCACTGGGGTGAACTCCAACACGTGGCGGCTGAGCTGTGGGGCAATGAGCCCACACCAGCCCGCCGCCGCTCCCCGCAGGCAACACCAGAAAAATGGAGGGTCCAACCCCTCTCGAGAGGTTGGGTACCAGAGCCCAAGCTGTGCGTGGAGGTGAGGCCGACTATATCTAGCCGGTACCTCTCAACCTCCCGCACAAGCTCAGGCTCCTTCCCCCCCAGCGAGGTGACATTCCACGTCCCTACAGCCAGGTTCTGTGTCCATGGACTAGGTTGCCGGGATCCCTGACCCCGACCGCTGCCTAGTTCACTTCACACTCGACCCCTATGAAACCCTCTGTGGGTGGTGAGCCCACAGGAGGGCGGGCCCACGTCGCTGTGACGGGGTTCTATCTTGCTGTAGTAACGATGGCGTAGTCAGAAGGATGTTTTTTTGGAGTGTTTAATAGGTGTTAAAGTTCCCAAATAAAGAAAGTTTGAAGAGTGCTATACAACAAAAAGTGAAACAATAAAGAAAAAGTATTTACAATATATACACACACACCAGCAAAAGTCTGCTTAAATCTCTGGTATATTACCTTCCTCTTCCAGGTCCAGGTTGGAACTGACTGAGGGGGAGAGGCTCTTTTATCCCCCATGACTCCTCCCCCAAGCCAATTAACAAAGAAATGTGGGTTTTCACCCTTAAAACCCAAATTACTGATAACAACAAAATAAGGAAAAACCCAGAAAAATATAGTAAATTATATGGCGCCTGTAGCAGCAATAGAAAATGAGAAATTAATATTTTATTATTAACTGTGGTTTTTTTGGTGATGACGTCGCAGTGACGTCACATGCGAAGGTCCCGCTCACGAAACCGGAAAAAGGAAGTGTCAGATCAGTGCTCTGTTTGCCAGTGGGGGTGTGAGGACAGGGATGGATAATGCGGAAAGGTAGATGGAAGACGAAGTTATGGAGGTGAAGGATTTGGCAGCGGACTTGTGTGCACCCAAGGCTACTGCGGTGGTGAGCGGACGGAAAATATGTAGCGGGGACCGGAGTGGATAGACGAGGAGTGAGCAACAGAGCAGGTACGGTGCGGAATGAATGAAAACAGGTGGGTAGTTGGCGCGGGCTTGTTCGGGCGTGCTTAAGTAAGCGCGCGCTCGGACGGAGTGACTCCGTCACAGTCGCCCTTCGGGCTGAGCCCGGCCGGGCCCCGTGGGCAAAGGCCGGCCACCAGGCGCTCGCTTTCGAGCCCCAACCCCAGGCCTGGCTCCAGGGTGGGGCCCCGCTGCGCCATACCGGGCGACGTCACGGTCCTTGTTTTTATACTGTTCATAGAGGTTCTATGAACTGCTCTTAGTCTGCCCCGTCACCTAGGACCTGTTTGCCATGGGAGACCCTACCAGGGGCATAATGCCCCAGGCAACATAGCTCCTAGGATCATTCGGGTACACAAACTCCCCCACCACGATAAGGTGGCAGGAGGAGTTGAAAAAAAAAACAGCACTTAATCTAAATTTAGACAATTCCCTTCTTCTAATGTTTAAAATATTTTTATCCAAGTACAGTCGTAATTTCACTGTTATAGGGCCTACTAATGTCAAAAAATTCACTTTCTTTACACAGTCAAGGCCTATTGGCACAAAGTGCTATAAATGTAAAGTATCAGTGCATTAGTCTGATGTCAGAAACCAAAATTATAAAAATATGTTATAAGAAAAACAAATTGAGGTCAAATTGACCCTAGAGGAACTTCACTGTAATGCTACTGTAAGGGGTAACACCCGGTGTGCACTGACTGCAGGTGCGGTGTGTTTTGGGACATGCATGATCCCACAAGACCAGACCCGCGGGTGCCTGCGTAAAGAATCTGTACTAACCCATTCTAAACAGCCACAGTGTCTAAAAGCACGGGAAAGTGTGAAATATCCCTGCTGTTTACTAACAGGTCTTCCCGTACATGCTAATCATGGATCTGTTGATGCTGATCTATGGTGTGAACTTGCGTCCAGATCGTGAATCCCTGTGAGTACATTGTCTCAGAGCGCAGTCTCGACGTAGGCCACCAGGATCACAAAAAACACACCAAACCCGAACCACTGTCTGACCTGCAGTCAGTGTACACTGGGGGTAAGAGGGATGGAAGTAGCTAACTGGGCATAACAGAATATTTCTTTGTATAAAGTGTATTTCATTGTTTTTTATCTGACAATGACAATAAATGTCATTCAATTATCATTTCTATAAATTTTCCATAGGTCTCAGGGACAGGAAGTTTTGAAGACAACATTGAAATCATGATCTACAAAGTGTTGAATAATCTTGTAGAGGAGGAAATAAAACATTTTTGTTTCCATTTGAAAGACTACACTTCATCAAAATATAATCAGATTCCACGATCCAAACTGGAAAGAGCCGATCAAGCCGACATCGCCTCGTTATTGTGTCAGAATTATGTGGAGGAAGCTCCTGATGTCACAGTGAAGATTCTTCGAGCGATCAACAAAAATGACAGTGCCTCAGAGCTGGAGAAAACTGTTGGTAAGAAACATTCCACTAAGTTCTTTCCATTTCATGCTTCTGTTGTACTCATTATTGTTTTAATACAGGTGCCCTGAAGGAGAAGAAGATGTCCTCAAAGGACATTTCAAAAACTGAAGCTGATCAAGGGGACAAACTGAAAAATCTGTTGACGTGTGGAGGAAACGCTCTGGATAACTATGATAAGTTTGTTATTGTCCTGAATAAAAGCCACCCAGATCAGGTGCAGCACCTCCACTTTCTGAGCAAACTGAAACTGTTCTGTGTCCTGGACTTTGACCCAAACTCGGTGTTACCAGGAGGCGTCTGTCACTCCTACAGAGAGGAAAGGGTGGCAAACCTGCACAGCCCAGTGCAATATAAGGGAAAAACCGAATCCATCATAATAGAGAAGCTAAATCTGTATAAACAGACGAGCTGGGTCTTCTGCAATGGGAGAAATGATCTAGAAGATGAATGTCACCAGGAGCTGGACTATAAGTCCTGGCTGAAGACGTCCTGCAGAAACGTGGAGCACCTAGTTTCATTTATTTGCAAACCAGAGGTTCTTTGTCACAGAGAATTTCTGATCATTTTCCTTTTACTGTCTCCAGTCGAAACAGAAAAAGATCCCATGTTTGACACGTACAGATGTTTCTACAAAAACACGTCAGAGAAAAATATAGTCACACTGTGTGAGTCCAAGAGCACATACTTAAAATGGAAGGAGCTGGTTCAAGAGAAATGTGACACAGACATCGACCCGTTTTCCATAAACGAGCTGAGCCTGAGAGAAATCAACGGCACCATCATGGCCCTGGGACCAATCAGCCGATCCCCTGTGAAACTGCTGCCATCTGCAGACTCGAGTTCCATTGTGTTAAAGCAGAAGGAGGAAGATCTGATGACCGCGCTGGAGGTTCTGTGTGTAAACCAGTGTGAGAACATTCACGACGAGAACAGCGAACAGTTCAAACAGTTCAAACTAAAACAAGAAGAGGAGTTCTACCGAGGAGGCAAGGTGAAATGGTGGAACTTTTATTTCTGTGAAAAAGACAAGGAGAGGCCCTTCATCAAGAGAGACAAGTATGAAAATGTAAAAAAGATGATCAGAACTCAGTTAAAAGATCCTCAAAACACCTGCATTGTGCTCACTCTGTTTCACCATCCGGGCTGTGGGGCCACAACTCTCGCTATGCACGTCATGTGGGACCTCCGCAAAGAGCTCAGGTGTGCGGTTCTCAAGGAGAACAAAGTCCCAAAAAGAGGAAGTGGCCCATCAAATCATAAAACTCATGAAACTCGACCCTAAGAGACCGTGCACAGTTTTACTCTTAGTGGATGATTCAAAGGACTCTACCCATGAGCTTCTGAACTTTATCCAGAAAACTGTGTCCAACATGAATGTAGACCTCACCCAAACCTGTAAGGTGATCGTTCTGAACTGTGTCCGCAGCCACAGCCCAAAGGACCAGTACAGAGAACACGACATTTCATGTAGTCAGTACCTGACTGCATCTCTGACCCCAGATGAACAACAGGATTTTGAAAAGAAACTTAAAGAACTGGAAAAAACTCACAACAAACCAGAGAACTTTTACAGTTTCATGCTCATGAAGAGTAACTTCGACCCTCAGTACACTGAAGACCTTGCCTCCAATACTCTGGAGAGTTTTGATATGAGCACCAAGAAGGGCAAACTGTTTGCTTTTCTGGCATTGCTTAATACATATGTGGCTGATTCGGAGATTTCCCTCTCACTCTGTGAGGACTTCTTAGGGATTAAATGATTCGATGGGAAGAGGACAGTGTGCTGAAGCGAATGGCCCCATATTCTAACCTCCTCATCATTTATAAAGTTGAAGACTGGGGAGGGTACAAAGGAGTTCGGATCCTGCATAACCACATAGCTGCTGCCTGTCTGGAAGAGTTTGAGAGACGACATGAGCTCACAGTCAGTGACATCACAATAGAGATTTTACACTGTGATCTCTTCTACAGTCCAGGGGTCGTTAAAAACAGACTCATGAAGTCCATAGAACAAATGCTGATTGAACGACAGCGCAGAAAGGGAGAAAAGGGAGAAAGGGAACCATTTTCACCACTAGTAGAAAAAATCCACAGCGAAAAAGGAAGACAAATTATTCAGAACATTTTTGTACAGGCCTCCTCCAGGTTTGAAACCAGTGCTTCCATCCCCCAGGCCCTGGCCAGATATCTGTACATTAAAGAGCAGGACTTTCCTGAGGCTCTGAAATGGGCTCAAAAGGCAACAAACATTGCAAAAAACCCATTTATGTTTGACACGATTGCCCAGATTCACAAAAGTAATTTAAAATATAACATGGACAGAGAAAAGCAAGAAAAATCCCACAGTCCAGAAAGTCTTAAACAAAATCTTAAAATAGCGGTAAATGCCATCGAAGCCTTTGAACGAGCTCAGGATCTTGCACCCAACGATGAAGAAGAAGAGTCAGAAGATGATCAAGACTATCCCAGAAAGTCATACACAATTTACGGCTACGTTGGAGTTGTGGAAATTACATTTTTAGTATTTGAGGTGTTGGGAAGATTATCATTTTTTAATGAAAATCAAGATCCAATGAACAAGATGTATCTAAGGAGTTTCTTAGAGGGTAAAACTCTGATCACAAGTGTTCACAAGGAAAACAATGAAATCAATGACAGATATGTGGCAGTCATTCGAGAACATGAGCATTTCATCCTAAACCTGAAAAACAAGGTCAAAGACACATTTGACATCCTCAGTTCTTTCTTTACATATTTAAAACCTGTCTATTCAGAGTTTGATTCAAAGAACCGCTGGACCATCGCTGAACATTTCAAAAAGTATGTTCAGCTATTTTGCATTAAACCAGAAGAGGTGAATACAGAGTGCCAAAGCAACCCTCAACTCGCTTTGAAAATGGCGATAGAACAAAAGAGGCTGTTCCTGGAAGAGAAGAATGTAGACACTTTTTCAGGGATTCTATCCATTCAGAATTTGGCTAAATCTGCAGAAGAGATGGAGGAGATCACTCAGGCCTATGAATATCTCTATAAACACAAAGACTTTAACACCAAAACACAAGCGACTAAAGTAACAACCAACTACATCCTGTCCAACATCGTTCTTAACCTCTCAAAGCCAAAGTCCAAACACGTGCTGGGGTACACAGTCCTGTCAGACATGCTCAGAAAGACTCTGCAGGATGTAGGTCTTCGCTCAAACTTCCCTGACCCGTACTACACAGCCCTGCTGCTGTTCTGGCCCAATCCTTCAGACAAAACCACCGACATACAAAAATATGTCACTGCAATTCGACACGCTTCTCGAAAGCACCTGTCTGCTTACTTTAAGGGTCGAAGCACTGTAGCTCACCTGTTTCTGGCTAAAGGATCAAGCCTCACACGACTTGTTTCCAAGTTACAGTTGGATAAAAACTTTAAGGAAATGTCACGTATCAGTCTGGCACAGTTGTGGCGCAGTGGGGACATTTTCAAAGAAAAGATAATAAAAGATCGTCTTCTTCGAGTTAAAGGAACTATTGAGGGAGGAGAAATTTCTGCAATATATGGAAATCAGAAAGTCCATGTCCGTCCAGCTCTGATTTCAGGCACCAGAAGTGGCTTCAGCACTGAGAAGGTCTCCTTCTTCTTGGGCTTCGCCATTAATGGACCTCTTGCATATGATATACAAAGTGAAAATTAAGGAAACCTTCTTCTCCAGCTTCTGCTGCTTCTGTTCTTATGGGCCTGGCTGATGCCCCACACACCCTCCCATAAAAGAGACACTGACTATGACAGTGTGATAAAACATCCAGAGCAGCTCCTCAAACATCAAATGCCCTGAGCCTCCAGACAAAAGAGGCGACTCTGTTCTCATGAACAGGGCATCTGTGTTTAACCCTGAATCACACTTAGGCATATTTTGTGCTTTGTCACTTTTGTTTCTTCATCTTTTTCACTTCTTCATTTTTGATTCAAATGGGCTGATTTTTGGCAGAGTGATGTATCCATGAGATTTTTAACATTTTCATAATCAGTTTTTCAAGTTTAGCCTATTCTGATTCATTTTAGGAAAGATAATGCCTTTGTGCCCTTGAGCACAAAAATGATCAGTTGCCTTTCATTATAACAACCTGCCATTGTGCAAAATGTAAAGAATGCAACATCGAAGTGTGAAACCTCTGGCTTCAAATGAGTGTTCTGACATATTTTTTTGGAGGATGATGTAATTTTACCTTATATGGTCAAAAGTGTAAATGCATGTAGTCAGTCATTGTCTATAATCACCACCTGTCCTCAGTATAAAGTGTGTAATATCTCATTTCTGTAGATTTTCTCAACCCTCTGACTTCAAATTCGTGTTCTGGTATAATTTTTGAAAGATGAAGCACTTTTTACTTTATGGGAAGTTAATATGAATGACTGAGATTCATGAGCAGGACCACGCCTCATCCTCCCCCTGCTCCTCTCCAGCCAACCACAGCTCAGCTCAACCACACCTTCAGTTTTGTGAAGAATCCCTCAGTCGTCCAGGTAGAATCCACAGCGAGGAGAAAATTCAGTTTGTCGACTGGACCCAAAGTTAGTTTGGTTGAAGACGTCAGAACTGAAGAAGCAGCTTGGATGAGCTGCGAAACGTCTTCAACCAAACTAACTTGGGTCCAGTCGACAAACTGAATTTTCTCCTCGCCACACCTTCAGTTACCCACAAGCTCTGTTTATACCGGCCTATCCAGACAACAGCGTCTCCTTCTGCTCTCTCGACTCCTTCCTCCCCGTGTCTCTTGTTCATCCTTCAGCCTGACGACATCATGCACAAAGGAGTGGGTCCGGCTGACCTCCTGAGACCGAGCTCTGGTCCTGAGTCTCCCCCCAGTCATCACATCCATCCACCGTCAGTAAACGTCTGCAGAGTGTTCCACTGTTGTGACGTGGTTCTTGCTGGTGAAATGGTGAGTGATTGAAATGCATCTAATTTTGCAGTTTACTCCCTGACGTCAGGGCGATGTGACTGGTTGAGTGTTTGTGGAGCTGCAGGAGTCCCAGAGAACAGTGACAGACAGTATTTGACTTTTACTCCATGTATGTGTAAGAACAGCAGAGGTGCAGTATCACATACATACAGACGAGTTCTAAATTGCTGTTACCTCTCTGCCAAAGAAAGAAAAATCAACAATGGTCACTGAAATAATTTGAAACTGATAAAAGCAATAATAAATAAAAATGTACTGAAAATTGTCCAACGAAAATCAAACATTGTTTTTCACCTGTGGTTCAATGAAATTATTAGAAAAAACAAAAATAATGAAACTAGCCTGGACAAAAATGATGGTTCCCATAACTTAATATTTTGTTGCACAACCTTTTGAGGCAAACTCTGCAAACAAATGATTTTAGTCACTGTCAGTGAGACTTCTGCTCTAGTCAACAGGTATTTTGACCCACTCCACGTGAGCAAACTGTTCTAGTTGTCTTGACTCCAGAACAGTCCAGTGTTTTGTTCTTAGTCGTTCTTGTGTGTTTTTTCGTGTGTTTTGGGTCATTTTCCTGTTGAAGACTCATGACCTACGACTGAGACCAAACTTTCTGACACGAGGCGACACATTTCGTTCCAAAACACTTTGATAGTTTTGAGATTCTGTTGTATTTTGCACAGATTCAAGACGCCCTGAGCCTGACGCAGCAGAACAGCCCCAGAACCAAACCAAACCTCCTCCGTGCTTCACAGTAGAGACAGTGTTCTTTTCTTGGTCTGCTTCATGTTTGCGTCTGTGAACTTAGAGCTGATGTGTCTTGCCAAAGAGCTTCAGTTTTGTCTCATCTGTCCAAAGAACATTCTCCCAGAAGTTTTGTGGTTTGTCCATCTGCATCGTGACAAACTCCAGTGTCACTTTCTGATGATGTTCTCTCAGCAGTGGTGTCCTCACATGAAGTCACTTTGGCTCAAACACTGATGGACGGTGTGATCTGACCTGATGTTCCTCGTCCTTCAACTTCACGTTTCATTTGTTTGGAGGTTGTTCTGGGTCTTTGGTTCCGTTTGTATGATTCGTCTCTTCAGTTTGTCGTCAGTTTTCCTCTTGCGGTCGCGTCCAGGGAGGTTGTCTTCAGTCCTGTGGAGCTTAAACTTCTGAAGAACATGTGGAAGTGTAATCACAGCTACATCACGCTGCTTGGAGATGGTCTTATTGTCTTTATCTTTAACCTGCTTGTCTGTCATTTTCTTTCTAGTCTCCTGACACAGTTGTCTTCTTCTCTTTCTCTGGTCCATGTTCAGTGTTGTGTCCATCTTGTCTCCAAACACAATGACACATGTGGCCCTTTAAACAGACACACTGACTGAGACTGACGAGTCTGAAGAACCTGTGATGAAGATCAGAGACACACTGAAGTTTTAACATGTCCCTGTTGTCCAACTGTTTACAGTCTTTTCTAAGGGAACATCATGTTTGTCCAGGACACTTTCATTAGTTTATTTTTAAAAATTATTCTGTTGAACAGCTATTCTGATTTTCATTGGCTATTTTTCAGGATTTTTTATTTTATTTTTACTTTTCTTAGTTTCAAATTATTTCAGTGACCATTGTTGATTTTTCTTTCATTACCACAGGGAACCAACAATTTTGTCCACGTCTGTAGATCCTAAAGCTGCTCTAAACACTTTACTCTGTGGGAAATATCAGACTGTTTCATGATGTCAGAAGCCGTACAGTTTAGTTTGGGTGAGACTCTCTGAGGAGAGGGGAAGACAGGTTTTTTTGTAATCATTAGTTTTTGAGGAGTAATTGTAAGACCTGGGTCCATATGCAGGAGCAGCAACAGAAGTATGAACAATATGATCAGAAATACAAAATAAAGGTTTAGAAACAGCCAAAGTCGTAGGGGAGATGAGTGGGACTGCAGCCTCTGTACTATCTCTGTGTCCTTAGGCAAGACACTTCACCCACATTTACCAGTATAACTCTGGTGTGTAACTGATTGGTGGTGGTCAGAGAGGCCGATGGCACAGCCTCACTTTCATCAGTCTGTCCCAGGGCAACTGTGGCTACAGAAATGTCTTGCCGCCACCACAGACTGTATAGATACATTTAATTACTCTTAATCAGACAGTGTTTCTAGTGTTTGTAGAGCAGCGGGAGGTTGAGGCTTGGTCCTGCTCATGAATCTCAGTCATATTAACTTTACATAAGGTAAAAAATACTTCATCCATCCATTTTCTTCTGTTTATCCGGGGCCGGGTCGCGGGGGCAGCAGTCTTAAGCAGGGACTCCCAGACTTCCTTCACCCCAGACACGTCCTCCAGCTCCTCTGGGGGGACCCCGAGGTGTTCCCAGGCCAGCCGAGAGACATAGTCCCTCCAGTGTGTCCTGGGTCTTCCCCGGGGCCTCCTCCCGGTGGGACATGAACACCTCCTGAGGGAAGCGTCCAGGAGACATCAGAACAGACGCTCGAGCCTCAACTGGCTCCTCTCCACGTGGAGGAGCAGCGACTCTACTCCAAGCTCCTCCCGTGTGACTGAGCTCCTCACTCTGTCTCTAAGGGAGACGCCCAGCCACCCTGCGGAGGAAACTCATTTCAAGCACTTGTATCTGCGATCTCGTCCTTTCGGTCACTACCCAGAGCTCATGACCAGAGGTGAGAGGAGGAACGAAGACTGACCGGTAAATCGAGAGCTTCGCCTTTCGGCTCAGCTCCTCTTACAGCGACCGCATCACTGCAGACGCTGCACCGATCCGCCTGTCAATCTCCCGTTCCATCCTTCCCTCACTCGTGAACAAGACCCCGAGATACTTGAACTCCTCCACTTGAGGCAGGGACTCTCCGCCCACCTGGAGAGGGTAAGACGCGTTTTTCCAGTCGAGAACCACGGCCTCGGATTTGGAGGAGCTGATCTTCATCCAGACGCTTCACACTCAGGTCAAACCGCCCCAGAGCTGCAGGTCCTGGTTCGATGAAGACAACAGGACAACATCATCTGTGAACAGCAGAGATGATCCTGTGGTCCCCAAACCGGACCCTCCGACCCCTGACTGCCCCAGAAACTCTGTCCATAAATACTTCATCATTCAAAAAATACTTCAGAACACTAATTTGAAGTGGTTCAGAAAATATATAGAAATTTGATCTGAACACTTTGAGTCACACTTGCTGAGTTCACGTCTTTATACAGCGTGTGGTTTGAAAGAAAACTGGGGCGTAAAGTGTCTAAAAAGTGTCTGTAAATCAAATGGATCATGTGTCATTATTAAAAGTCTCAGAGAATCATTTTTTTTAATGATTATAAAAAGACAAATATATTTGAACAAAGTCCCCTGTAGTTTCTATATGATGTTTGCAGCAGGTTTTGTTTCGGCTTCAGTGGGAAAAGTTTCATTTATGTTGCACTAAATATTCAAGAAAAGATGTAAAGAGCAAAAAAGCAGCTTCAAACATGAATTTAAAGCCAGAAGGTTCAGCAAATTCAAAAACATTGACACAGTGATTTGAAATGGTTCCAGTGGGCTTCCTTAGCTTACGTTTGTGTGAACAAGTCCTGGCTGTGAACCAGAACAAGTCTGTTTTATTTAGACCTGTTGTTTTGTTTGTCTTACACTTCCTGTGTTAAATGTTCTGTAGAAAGTCAAGTTTATTGATCTTTGAAAGGGTGTATTTGCATTTTTATTCCGTGGTCATTATATTAGTTGAAATTGGTCTCAAAATGTCAATATTATCGTTTATCACAATAAATTCTTGGTCAATTAATCGTCCAGTAAAATGTGTTCTGTTACAGGTCTATTTGTAAAGGTAAAAACTATTAGATCGAACAAGACAGTAGTAGTAGAAGTTGATATCACCAGTAATGAGCACGTCAGCCCCAGAGCACAACAACCACAGTGAACGACGACTCCACACCAGACGCCTGCGCCCGAAAATCCCACAGGATGGAAACCTTTGCTTTCTTCAACACGGAGAAGTGAAAGGAACTGGGCTGCGTCTGGGAGGAGGCGCGGTGGGCGGCGGTTAAGTCCTGCCTAAATCCTGTTTTGGTCCTGGATTTAGACCTGGTTTAGTTCTGGTTTAGTGGCGCAGGCCGCGTGACGTAAGGGACGGGGAGGACTGTCTGCGAGGTGTACGGGACGGGTGGGACGGTCTGTGACGGGGTGGGACGGTCTGTGACGGGTGGGACGGTCCACACAGGGGGAGGCCCGCGGGACTGCAGGGCTCTACTCCAGAGCAGCAGCAGGAAGCAGCAGAGCAGTGGTGAGAGGCACTCTGGGTAATGTGTCATTTTGGGCTTAGTGGCGGGCGCGGCGCAGTCGCGGGGGGCGGGCGCAGTCGCGGGGGCGGGCAGTCGAGTCACAGGGGGCGGGCGCAGTCGCGGGGGCGGGCACAGTCGAGTCACAGGGGGCGGGCAGTCGCGGGGGCGGGCACAGTCGCGGGGCAGTCGCGGGGCGGCAGTCGCGGGGGCGGGCGCAGTCGCGGGGGGCGGGCACAGTCGAGTCGCAGGGGGCGGGCACAGTCGCGGGGGCGGGCAGTCGCGGGCGGTTTTCAATCACATGTAAAGTTCTGTGGTGTGATTATTGTTAAAAATATAAACCACCATCTCCTGTTATTTACAGGGGGAGACGCAGCTCCTTCCGGCGTCTTCTTTTGGTCGCCTATGGTCGTCCCTCGTCTTATCGCTCTGTCCCCTCGGTCCCGTCCCAGCGCCGCTACCACCACCGTAGTTTCCTGGACACAGAAAATATCCCATCGCTCCCGTCGAGCTGGAGTTCCTCACCCTGACTGATCCGACTGGTGGTGGTGGTGATGGTTTCTCTGCAGTGTTGTGCTCTTCACTTCAGGCCCACTCCCTCTCAGGCTCCTGTTCTGCCTTTTATTTCCGTCCCTAAGCGCCGTGCTTCAGGTGCTCTGGTCCTCAGCGGTCGAAAAGAGTCATGTGGATTGGGGTTATAAATAAAAATGTAATAAAACTCCACAGCAAAAACAGATCAAAACAGCAAATAAAAACCTGCAAAATCTACACACAAAGAATAAAACAGGCCTCGTTCTGCACTGAGACGCATCACATACACAACAAAAATAAATCTGTCAAACTTGTACAGATATAAAAGCATAAAGGTCGTCGGACACTTCACCAGACACAAGTCTGATTAAGTGCCCAGTTTGTTGTGTGTTAGAATAATGGTAAACTGAATTATTGACTGAATTATTGATCAGGGTTTTACCAGTACAAAGATCAGCACCAGATCTTTCCATTCCACATCATCATTATATTTTGTGTACATAATATGTCATTTATTTTGCTATATGAATATTTGTAAAGTTCCGTGATCAATGTACAGAAACAACCACAAACATTTTTGAAACTATGTCATGAACAGGGATGGGTTCATATAAGTTTTTCTTCTTCCCTCCTTTTCGAGAAATGTGCTTTTCTGTTGTTTACAGTGTGTATGTAGTAACATGATTATTGTTTCTCTCTTGGCACAAACTCGAAATAAAAACCAATCAATCAATCAATCAATCAATCTGGAGACAGGGAGGAGGCTGTGGATGGATGAACATCCACTGTATGAACATCTGCGGAGGGTTTCATCCCTCCATCTTCTCCCAAACCAAAAGGAAACAATCATTTAGTACAAAATACATCTTCAATTTAAGAAGTGCAAACGACAGACAGAATCACATTTCTCCCGTGTCAGACGTCTGTTTACCAAGTCTCCGTGAGATTTAAATATAAAATGCAGATGTGTGTGTATAAAAACTCTACAGCCTGACAGAAAACCCTGGTCATATCACATAATATTTGTTGTATTTGCACTTCCAGCGACGACATGTGGAGTCATGACGGTTGATCAGACAAAAACAAAACCTGCAGAAGTGAGTCATATTTACTGTCCCAGTTGCATCACAGTTTTATCCGACTGTGTTGGTACATGGAGGATGTTTGGGTCGTGGCAGATACATGGACAAAGTCTGGACTGTCAGTGTCTCCGGACGCTTTTCCTGAACAAATAAAGTGTGTTCCAGTGACTTGTGTTACGACTAAACCTTACGATGGACTTGAGGCATGTGGCAGCAAAAAACAACAGCCAAAGTTTAACAATGCAACAAAGGAAAATGTTTCCATGGTGCATGATTCTCCAATCTGACTGATTCACATTTTCACATGTGGGACTGAATAAATGTGCTGCAGATGAATGTGTTTTTAATCATCTGCTCAGTCCAAATGCTTCTTCTGACACTTGTGACCAAACACGTCTCTTGTTTGTCTTAAAGGGGCGAGATGAGGGATTTCTGTAAAACTTGTGTGTTTTGTTGTTTTGATCAAAATGGTTCTTTTTGTTTGTTTCACAGCGGCTCTTTCTGCAAACCACCTGATGTTAAAAATAGAAAAAACACCCCATTTGTGCCTCAAACAAGTCAGGAAAAGTGCTGTGTCTGCTCCACACTGCCCTCTGCTGGTTGTTCAGTGGAGGTGCGATAAAAAGTAAAACAGATCCACAAATGCAGATTCCACACACAAAATCAAGTGGATTTATTTTCAAATCTCAAAAATATATCTACAAATACACATTTATTTATGCAAATTCATTTTATTTATTTGTATGTCACATTTTTATATTTGTATTTGGATATTTTTAAATGTGTGTGTTTTTATATATATAATTTTGTATTTGTATAAATCTTTTTGAGACATTTCTCTCTCCACACAACAGCACGTGGGTCTGACGTTTGTGTTTGTTGTAAAAAAGACACGTGAATTTACTGTGTTTTTTATTTTTCATCCAAACAAGAACATCTGAAAGAAGCAGAAAGATTCACAAACATATTGACCGTGTGTTATTTCTTTGACAGTGACGTGTGGCTCTTCGTCTCCTCCCTCCTCTCCATCATGAGCCACATGTTTGTAGTTTTCTTGTGTGTTGGAGCAGCTGAAAAATATGAACTAATGAATAACTTNAGGAACTCTGTCCTTCTGCTGAGTGTCTCCATCAGGACTCTGTCCTTCTGCTGAGTGTCTCCATCAGGACTCTGTCCTTCTGCTGAGTGTCTCCATCAGGACCCTCTGTCTGCTGAGTGTCTCCATCAGGAGCCCGACACGCTGATCAGAAGTAAGTACTTTTAATGATTTTTGTGACAGTGAAGATTTAGTTTGGAGTCAGATCTGACTTTGTCTCTAACTTTCTGTTCTGGGACTTGAGACGGTGCTTCAGACTTTCAGTGAGAGATGTTGACATGAACACTAATGTGTCACATCTATATTACACTGATATTGACTCTGAACACCATCAAAAATTGATGATTATATTTTAAATGTTGTGGTAAAAGTAAATGTAGTAGAGTATTGTGTATTAACAGCAGTGAAATACGTCTCATGTTCATACTCAGGCTTATACTAAAACAAAAGAGTTCAGTTTTACTGCGCTAAAGTATTTCCTATGAGTTAAATCCATGTTTTTCATCTCTGTTTCAGAATCTACTGTGGTTAATAAGAAGATGGACATAACAGCCTGATAAAGACCCTCTGGAGGTAAATACTGCACTTGTGTTAAACACTGGGGCCTGAAATGATCCAAACTGATATTTGTGTTTCTCTTATTTGATGTTTTACAGAATTCCCTCTGCTGGGCCAAGTTCCAAAAATGTAGAGACAGACCCTGTGTAAGTTTACTGTATTATCCTACTTTTATTCACTTTCATAACTAAACATGAGTACATTATAATCACAGCTGTTGTTGTGCAGATTGTTTCTTTCAGAACCTGCTGTGGTGGAGTTTACAGACTGACCCTCTGTAAGTGCATCTCTCCAATCAAGTGTTCACCTTTCATGTTCACATCACACAGTCACTGTCAGGACTTACAATGTTCTTCACAAACCTGAACTCCAACTCCTTACAAGAATAAAGGTGTAATGGGGTGTTTAATACACACTGGTGTCATTTCAGATGCTGTGAGAAAAGTGAAGCCAGCGCTGGACACTGACAGACTGGATCTTCACCAGTAGGACTGAAGAGGAGCCAGACTCACTGCACCTCTGCCTCAAAACCTCTGCCTCAAAACCTCTGCCTCAAAACCTCTGCCTCAAAACCTCTGCCTCAAAACCTCTGCCTCAAAACCTCTGCCAAACTCTGCTCAAACCTCTGCCTCAAACCTCTGCTCAAAACCTCTGCCTCAAACCTCTGCCTCAAAACCTCTGCCTCAAAACCTCTGCCTCACCTCTGCCTCAAACCTCTGCCTCAAAACTCTGCCTCAAACCTCTGCCTCAAAACCTCTGCTCAAAACCTCTGCTCTGTGCCTCAAAACCTCTGCCTCAAAACCTCTGCCTCAAAACCTTGCTCAAACCTCTGCCTCAAAACCTTGAAAACCTCTGCCTCAAAACTCTGCCTCAAAACATCTGCTCAAACTCTGCCTCAAAACATCTGCCTCAAACTCTGCCTCAAAACCTCTGCTCAAAACTCTGCCTCTCTGCAAAACATCTGCTCAAAACATCTGCCTCAAAACCTCTGCCTCAGACTGAAGCTAAAGACAGAGGCTCTGAAGCTCCACACTTCACACTCTATAAGAACAACCATGTGTCTAATTGTTCTGTGGTGGGAAACACAAGTTAAGTTTGAGTTTGAACAGTTTGGTTTGGCTACACTCTGTCTCATCTGTCCAGGCTTTTACTCATATATCTTATATTTGTTTTTTGCCATTTAAAAAAAAACAAAAACTTTGCTTAACTTGAATTATTTTTAGTAAAAACTGTAAATTGTCATTTTCATATTAAGAATGAAGCATTGTTTAACTCAAAGGGTATATAAGTCCTATAACATTAATAATGATTATTCATGTCCTAAGATTTCTAATTAATGATTTAAATAAATATTGTTTACAATGTAAAAAAAAAAAAAAAAAAAAAAAGTTTCTTTTTTTCTTAATTAATGAGATTTAGTGTTAGGATATTTCACTGATCCAACTTTGAAATTGTTTAAGTTTATGTTTTTAAATTTAAGCCTTTATATCCTAGTTTTAATAGTTGCTGTAAAAGTTTTATGTACAATTACAATGCAAATGCTGCTGGTGTATTTAGGTCAGTAGGAAGTGGATCAGTATTAAATCTGAACCATATTTAGGCTCCTAACGACACAATAAACAGATCCGCGGCAGATCCGCGGCAGATAACCCGGTTCTGAAAGTGGATCCAAAACGGGTCCTGGGCGGATCCGCGAGATACGCAGCGGATCAGCCGCGCCTCCGCCGCGGATCCGGGCTTATTTTGACGGATCCGCGGCGGAGGCGCGGCTGATCCGCTGCGTATCCGCGCGGCGGATCCGTTGCTGATCCGCGGCGATGTGCAAGTGACTCCGATGCGGATCCGTTCTGCGGATCCGCCGCGAATCTCCGGGCGGATCCGCCGCGTATCCGCCGCGGATATTTTTTGCTATGTGGGCTTTGCTTTCTTCAACACGGAGAAGTGAAAGGAACTGGGCTGCGTCTGGGAGGAGGCGCGGTGGGCGGCGGTTAAGTCCTGCCTAAATCCTGTTTTGGTCCTGGATTTAGACCTGGTTTAGTTCTGGTTTAGTGGCGCAGGCCGCGTGACGTAAGGGACGGGGAGGACTGTCTGCGAGGTGTACGGGACGGGTGGGACGGACGGTCTGTGACGGGTGGGACGGTCTGTGACGGGTGGGACGGTCTGTGACGGGTGGGACGGTCCACACAGGGGGAGGCCCGCGGGACTGCAGGGCTCTACTCCAGAGCAGCAGCAGGAAGCAGCAGAGCAGTGGTGAGAGGCACTCTGGGTAATGTGTCATTTTGGGCTTAGTGGCGGGCGCAGTCGCGGGGGGCGGGCGCAGTCGCGGGGGGCGGGCACAGTCGAGTCACAGGGGGCGGGCACAGTCGCGGGGGGCGGGCGCAGTCGCGGGGGGGCGGGCGCAGTCGCGGGGGGCGGGCGCAGTCGCGCGGGGGGCGGGCACTTTCAATCACATGTAAAGTTCTGTGGTGTGATTATTGTTAAAAATATAAACCACCATCTCCTGTTATTTACAGGGGGAGACGCAGCTCCTTCCGGCGTCTTCTTTTGGTCGCCTATGGTCGTCCCTCGTCTTATCGCTCTGTCCCCTCGGTCCCGTCCCAGCGCCGCTACCACCACCGTAGTTTCCTGGACACAGAAAATATCCCATCGCTCCCGTCGAGCTGGAGTTCCTCACCCTGACTGATCCGACTGGTGGTGGTGGTGATGGTTTCTCTGCAGTGTTGTGCTCTTCACTTCAGGCCCACTCCCTCTCAGGCTCCTGTTCTGCCTTTTATTTCCGTCCCTAAGCGCCGTGCTTCAGGTGCTCTGGTCCTCAGCGGTCGAAAAGAGTCATGTGGATTGGGGTTATAAATAAAAATGTAATAAAACTCCACAGCAAAAACAGATCAAAACAGCAAATAAAAACCTGCAAAATCTACACACAAAAGAATAAAACAGGCCTCGTTCTGCACTGAGACGCATCACATACACAACAAAAATAAATCTGTCAAACTTGTACAGATATAAAAGCATAAAGGTCGTCGGACACTTCACCAGACACAAGTCTGATTAAGTGCCCAGTTTGTGTTGTGTAGAATAATGGTAAACTGAATTATTGACTGAATTATTGATCAGGGTTTTACCAGTACAAAGATCAGCACCAGATCTTTCCATTCCACATCATCATTATATTTTGTGTACATAATATGTCATTTATTTTGCTATATGAATATTTGTAAAGTTCCGTGATCAATGTACAGAAACAACCACAAACATTTTTGAAACTATGTCATGAACAGGGATGGGTTCATATAAGTTTTTCTTCTTCCCTCCTTTTCGAGAAATGTGCTTTTCTGTTGTTTACAGTGTGTATGTAGTAACATGATTATTGTTTCTCTCTTGGCACAAACTCGAAATAAAAACGAATCAATCAATCAATCAATCAATCAATCAATCAATCAATCAATCAATCTCTGGAGACAGGGAGGAGGCTGTGGATGGATGAACATCCACTGTATGAACATCTGCGGAGGGTTTCATCCCTTCATCTTCTCCCAAACCAAAAGGAAACAATCATTTAGTACAAAATACATCTTCAATTTAAGAAGTGCAAACGACAGACAGAATCACATTTCTCCCGTGTCAGACGTCTGTTTACCAAGTCTCCGTGAGATTTAAATATAAAATGCAGATGTGTGTGTATAAAAACTCTACAGCCTGACAGAAAACCCTGGTCATATCACATAATATTTGTTGTATTTGCACTTCCAGCGACGACATGTGGAGTCATGACGGTTGATCAGACAAAAACAAAACCTGCAGAAGTGAGTCATATTTACTGTCCCAGTTGCATCACAGTTTTATCCGACTGTGTTGGTACATGGAGGATGTTTGGGTCGTGGCAGATACATGGACAAAGTCTGGACTGTCAGTGTCTCCGGACGCTTTTCCTGAACAAATAAAGTGTGTTCCAGTGACTTGTGTTACGACTAAACCTTACGATGGACTTGAGGCATGTGGCAGCAAAAAAACAACAGCCAAAGTTTAACAATGCAACAAAGGAAAATGTTTCCATGGTGCATGATTCTCCAATCTGACTGATTCACATTTTCACATGTGGGACTGAATAAATGTGCTGCAGATGAATGTGTTTTTAATCATCTGCTCAGTCCAAATGCTTCTTCTGACACTTGTGACCAAACACGTCTCTTGTTTGTCTTAAAGGGGCGAGATGAGGGATTTCTGTAAAACTTGTGTGTTTTGTTGTTTTGATCAAAATGGTTCTTTTTGTTTGTTTCACAGTGGCTCTTTCTGCAAACCACCTGATGTTAAAAATAGAAAAAACACCCATTTGTGCCTCAAACAAGTCAGGAAAAGTGCTGTGTCTGCTCCACACTGCCCTCTGCTGGTTGTTCAGTGGAGGTGCGATAAAAAGTAAAAACAGATCCACAAATGCAGATTCCACACACAAAATCAAGTGGATTTATTTTTAAATCTCAAAAATATATCTACAAATACACATTTATTTATGCAAATTCATTTTATTTATTTGTATGTCACATTTTTATATTTGTATTTGGATATTTTTAAATGTGTGTGTTTTTTATATATATAATTTTGTATTTGTATAAATCTTTTTGAGACATTTCTCTCTCCACACAACAGCACGTGGGTCTGACGTTTGTGTTTGTTGTAAAAAAGACACGTGAATTTACTGTGTTTTTTATTTTTCATCCAAACAAGAACATCTGAAAGAAGCAGAAAGATTCACAAACATATTGACCGTGTGTTATTTCTTTGACAGTGACGTGTGGCTCTTCGTCTCCTCCCTCCTCTCCATCATGAGCCACATGTTTGTAGTTTTCTTGTGTGTTGGAGCAGCTGAAAAATATGAACTAATGAATAACTTTATTAAAATTCAAGTGTGTTTAAAGTCAACTACAGGAAGGTAAAGGTCACAGCTAAATGCTTCAAGGTTTTAGATCAGGGGTCTCAAACTCAAATGACCTGGGGTCACATTAGATAAAGTCTGAGTGAGGCTGAGCCGCATTGAGTGTTCGATAAATAACGGTTACACGAAAAAAAATGCCGTATGTGCTAGAGATGGGTATGAATAGTCGATGAATCGATAATTGATCATTAACAATTTCATCGATTACGTTCATTTTCATCGACAAACTGAATCTATGGCTGCGTTCAGTCTGCACCTGAAGTTTCCCAAATCCGTTTTTTGTCTCTATGTTCCTGTATCTGATCTTTTAATGTCTGAACCACACAGATCTGATGTTTTCACATGTGACCAGGACACTTGGATCTGTGCTCCTGAAACTGATCCATATCTGATCTTTAACATGTGACTTGAGTGTGAACAGTCAGGTCACATTCATCCACCTACACGTCATCAACAAGACACAAACGTCACTATTCTGCACTGAAGCAGGCGGAAACCGGAACTTTAAAATCTCCAGGTGCTCGATGCTGCGTCCATGTTTGTTCAACTTGTGTAAACACAGAGACGCTCGCTGCGGTTGACGTCGTCGTGTCTCCAGTGTCACATGTGGGACACTTTTGGACCGTTTAATGTTCAAACTGGAGTCACATACAAGTCACATTTAACTGGAAATGTGAACGAGCTGAAAAAACATCGGATTTCACAAAAAAATCTGAATTGAGCTTTAAGCCCTGCAGTCTGAACGTAGAATAAGTTTGTTTGTGTGTCGTGACAAACAGGTGTGTACATGTGTCTCTGCATCAGAAGGAGCGAGACACAAACAGTGGGTCAGTCTGTAACGAACCGAAGCACAAATGTGGATTTAACCAGGATTTGTAGAAGAAATTCCACACTTTCCGTTGCGTTGGGACAAGTGTGAGTCCATGTGCACAGTGGATAAAGCAGCACATATGTTTCTGTGTCCAGTGGGAAAAAGTTTTTCCAGGTGAGAGTCGCTCAATGTGGATGACGAGGCCCCGCCCCCCTCCCCCCGTACGCTGTCCTGGTTTTGACAAACACAAATCTGGTCACACTGACCTGTATTCACCTGAGTCATGTCTTTTAATCCAACACAAGTTGAACCACATCAGCGACACAAGAGCTGGAGTTTTATCTTCACTTAGTTTATGTAAATTAGTGATGTGGTTTTAAGTTTTGTTTCTGTGAGATTTGAACAAAACTGAATTAAACACATTATAATGTCAAACAGCTGATGTGGATCTAGAGTCGTTATGTTTATATGTCGTAAAGTTGAGTTTATTGATGCAGATTAGTGCAGATAGTAATAATAATGATGATCATTTTAATATAAAAACATTCATGATTAATCGATAATCGATCGTTAATTCTTCCAACGATCGATTAAGAACATTTCATCAGATGCCCGTCCCTGGTTTGTGCTCATGTTCTCGTATGAACAGATCCACTTTGACTCGTTGCTTCACAGCTGCTGTAAGTTGAGTTTTGGGATGTAAACTGCGTTAATAATCACGACTGCAGCTTCATGTGTCCGTGCGGCCGCGGTGGAAGAGGGACTGTGCGAACATCGACCGCACTGACATTTATCTATTTATTTATTGTGATTTTAGACAAGTGTGATGGATGATTTTAATTGGTTGTTTATGGAACAAACTGTTCTGCACTGGAGCATCTGTAACACTTTATTGTGATTTTATGTGTGTTTTGTGGATGAATCAAATGTGAAATGTGGAACTTGTCTCTTAAATCTGCAAAGCAAATTTACCTACGGGTACGAATAAAGCGACCGAACCTAATTATTCTTTGGAATTAAGTGGAGGGACGCAAAACATCCTCCCGAGGGCCGCGAGTCTGACACCCCTGATTTAAAGGTTGTATCGAGGATTTTTTAAGGGAAGAGAAAGAGAGCGACCGTCCATGTGCATGTTCCTCCTCCTCAGCTCCTTCAGTAGAAACATCTCCTCCTCCCGCCGCTTTACTCGACTCACGTTTGTTTACAGCCTCGTTCAGAATCACTGTTGAACTTTATTGTCTAGAAATAATTTAGTGACCGAAGCGTCGTCAGTTTTTAGACTCTTCGTCTGTTTCAGTCGCGTCGTCGCTGGAAGGAATCTCCAAGAATCACCTCCGTTTGTCTTCCTCCTTTTCTCCTTCTTCTTCTTTCAGCGAACTGGTCGTGGATTCTAAACCTGGACTAAACCCGGACTAAACCAGGTCTAAACCTGGACTAAACCAGGTCTAAACCTGGACTAAACCCGGACTAAACCAGGTCTAAACCTGGACTAAAACTAAACCAGGAAAACCAGGACTAAACCAGGACTAAAACCAGGACTAAAACCAGGACTAAACCTAAACCAGGACTAAACCCGGACTAAACCAGGTCTAAACCAGGTCTAAACTGGAGGAACTAAACCAGGAAAACCAGGTCTAAACCAGGACTAAAACCAGGACTAAAACCAGGACTAAACCAGGACTAAACCAGGTGGACTAAACCAGGACTAAACCAGGTAAACTAAACCACTAAACCAGGTCTAAACCTAGGAACTAAACCAGAACTAAACCAGGACTAAACCCAGGACTAAACCAGGACTAAACCAGGACTAAACCAGGTCTAAACCAGGTCTAAACCTAAGGACTAAACCAGAAACTAAACCAGGACTAAACCAACCAGGACTAAACCAGGACTAAAAACCAGGAAACCTAAAACCAGGACTAAACCAGGACTAAAACCGGACTAAACCAGGACTAAACCAGGTCTAAACTAGGACTAAACCAGAACTAAACCAGGACTAAAACCAGGACTAAACCAGGACTAAACCAGGACTAAACCAGGACTAAACCAGGTCTAAACTAGGACTAAACCAGAACTAAACCAGGACTAAAACCCGGACTAAACCAGGGACTAAACCAGGACTAAACCAGGTCTAAACCAGGACTAAACCAGGACTAAAACCAGGACTAAACCAGGACTAAACCAGAAAACTAAACCAGGACTAAAACCAGGTCTAAACCAGGACTAAACCAGGACTAAACCAGGACTAAAACCAGGAAAACTAAACCAGGACTAAAACCAGGTAAACCAGGAAACCAGGACTAAACCAGGACTAAACCAGGACTAAACCTAAAACCAGGACTAAACCAGGACTAAACCAGAAAAGGAAACTAAACCAGGACTAAACCAGACTAAACCAGGAAAACTAAACCAGGACTAACAGGACTAAACCAGGACTAAACCAGGACTAAACCAGGGACTAAACCAGGACTAAACCAGGACTAAACCAGACTAAACCAGGACTAAACCAGGAACTAAACCAGGACTAAACCAGGACTAAACCACTAAACAGAACTAAACCAGGACTAAACCAGGGACTAAACCAGGGAAACCAGGTCTAAACCAGGACTAAACCAGGACTAAACCCAGGGACTAAAGGACCC